GGTAGGAACCATTTCAGGTTAGAAGAGACCAGACGGACACGACAGCTAAATGCAATGCATGGTCTTGGATTGTTTTGCTATAAAGGACATTACCATAAAGTCTGAATAAGGTCTAGAGATTAGATAAGAGAATTTCTTGTATTTAGGAAATAGGCACTAGTGGTATTCAAGGATAAATAGGCATCATGTCTTACATGATTCAGAAGAAAGAGAAAGAGGAACAAAGCAAGCCATATGGTGAATATTGATGTTTAGGGGATCTGGGTATTTAGACATTCTTTGTACTACTTTACAAGCTTTCTGTAAATCTGGAGTTACGTCAGAATACATTTTTAAATAAAGTATAAAATATAAAACATCTCTTCTGCAAATTATTTGATGCTCTTCCCATCAAGTCTAATCCCCTCCCCTTGAATATGGTCTGGCCTCAGCAATTTACTTCTAATGAATAAGTATGTTTCTTTGAAGTTGGTCATAAAAGGAGTTTCAACAACTATTAGAGCAAGAAGATTCTGGGGCATGTGCTTTGAAGCCCTGAGCCACCATGCAAGAAGTCCAGTTACTGTGAAGCCACCAAACTGGAGTGGCCACGTGGGGTGACCTGCTAGAGAGGAAAATACCTGCAGAGCTCCTGCTGTTCCCTAAGGACAATGGGTATTTTTTTAGTGGCAGAGTCCTGTCTCACTAACTGGTCATGGAACTTCCCTAAGTGGGGGACAGGTCCCTTCTGTGATCTCACAAAACCAGGATGAGGGTGAACTGTGGAAAGGGCATAAGGAGTTAAGGCCACCTTCAAATCCAGTCTGGGATTCTCTGGCTGAGTGACCATAGGTGAGTCCCTGGGTCCCTTCACACCTCAGCTGTCCCGTCTCTTTCATGGACAGGCTAGAATGACCTCACCATGGATGTGTAAGGCTCAGGAGAAATATTCTAAAGGAATTTTGCTAGTAGTAAAATAGAATTCTGATGTGTTATGAGATGATAGCACTTCCTGTGGCATTTTCAGCTCTGTGGTTCTGATCAGTCCCAGACCAGTCCCAGACGTGAGGACTACCACCTCCTAGTGGGCGACATAACCCCATGGGACTCCTAGTGAAAAATGCTGAGTTCCTCGCTTAATTACACCTCCCAAGACTGTGTGTGTGTGTGTGTGTCTGTGTGTGTGTTCCAAGGTGGAGAGAGACAACTAACATTTATTGAGCACCTACCAGTTTGCCAGATACTGCTCTAGCCTGAGAAGACAGTGATGGGCAAAACATACCACATCTCAGCTCACACAGTGCCTCGCTGCTGGGACGATGTAGTTCTCTCCAAGCTTGGAGCCTCAACATCCTTTTAAAATAGATCAAGCCTCACAATTCTCCAAGAGGAGAGGAAAGGAAAAGGAAAATGACACGATTATGAACTCTGTTAGACACGCCCTGTGGGATTGATGGGCACTTGGGAGCACCTAATTCTCTGTGGCAAGGACTGCCTTGAGCACCACAGAATGTTTAGCGGCACCCTTGGCCTCTGCCCATGAGACGGCAGAAATCCCGCACACCCAGTTGTGACACCAAGAAAGTCTCCAGAGATTGCTAAATATCTGTCGCGGTGTGAGGCACGAAACTGCCCCCATTTGAGGATTACTAGTCCAGATTTAAACTCTTGTTTCACCACTTACTTGCTGCATGACCTTAGACAAGCACTTTAACCTTGTCCTCAAGGTCCTCTGTGCCTCAGTGTCCCCATTAGAAAAATAAGAATATGAGAGGTAAATGTGAGGAACAAATAAGACTCCAGCAACCTGGTTTATTTGTGTAAGCGCTATTTTGCCCACTACCCTAGTTTGCCTTCCCTCCAAACACAATACTATGACCAGATGCGGTGGCTTACACCTGCAATCCCATCACTTTGGGACGCTAAGGCAGGAAGAATGTTTGAAGCCGGGAGTCCAAGACCAACCTTTACTGTATATCAAGTCCCCATTACTACAAAAAAGGAAGAAAAAAACAAAAACCACAAAGCCATGTACACAGCAGTTACACAATGAAGGTCTGCTGACATCTAACTATGAGACTGAATCAATTAACCATTTAACTAACAAATGTGCAAAGAACTGAATGTTCTGTTCTGCATGCTAGTGCAATTGCTCATTGGGGGATGTACTAGCTGCCTCTCTCATCATTGAAGTTAAGTCACCATGGGCTGCTGGGTTCAAGTTGAATTCTGCCACTCGAGAATTGTGTGACTACAGGCCAATAATTCAGCCTGTTAGTGCTTTCATTTCCCAGGTTTAAAATTGCAAAACCGTAAAAAAACCAAACATAACTAACTTCATTTTTGTTCAAGGGGACTTTACTCATTCCTGCACGTAGGCTAGAATAATTTTAGAACCCTAAAAGATAACCTAGGAACAACGAGACCACTAACCAAGGACAAGGAGATTTCACAACTTTTCCTGGACTCTTGCCATTGCCCAGATGTCTGGGCTTCTTGGCCACCTCTTGATCTCAGCCCCCTTCTTCTTCCCTTGGGCCTAGATAAAAACCGAGTAGCAGATACACTATTCAAGAGGGTTCTTTGGGACAGGAGTCTGCCATATTCTCGGATTGCTGGCTCTCCAAAATAAAGTTACCGTCCTTGCTCCAATTCCTTGTCTCTTGACTTATTGACTATCATGCATTGAGTACTAGTTTGGACTTGGTTACAAAATGGAGTAGTAAGATGCCTACCTCACAGGGATGTGAGGGTGAAATGCATTGATGCGTGTCATAGCTAGCACAAGCTGGGTCTCTGTGGCGCCTGCCGTGATTGCTGCCACTGTTGCTAACATTGATCCCATCATGTTCCTCTTTCATAGCCCTCAGACCCACTTCTCCAAGCATGATCCCATTTCAAGGTCTTTGCCCTTCTGCTCCCTCTGCTGGATCATGCTTCCTCCCAGACGTGCGCGTCACTCCAGACCTTCCTTCATGCTGGTCTCTTTTCATCATGCCTCCCCTGACCGCCCTAAATAAAATAGCAGCTTCACAGTCTACTCATTCTGTTTTATTTTGCATCACAACAATTATTGCCACTTGACGTTGCCTATCCTGGCCAGGGTGGTGTCTTGCAATGCAATATAACACAGTAGAGGAATGATTACTGGCTTGTCTCTCCCCCACTTGCATACACATTCCAAGAGAGCATAGAGTCTGATTAATGACCTTCTTCCAAGCGTCTAGCACAGTGCCTAGCACAGCATAGGTGTAATAATTATAATGAATGACGAGTGAGATTTTACAGAAGGGAGTGCCAAGGTCCTCAAGTGATTCATTCTCCATAGCATAAGACTTATTTAAGGGCCTAAAACAGTGTTTGCCACGATAGATTTTGCTTATAACAACCTGTTCTTTATAATAGAATAGCTGTGACTGGTTGTGGTGGGTCATACCTGTAAATCCAGCACTTTGGGAGGCTGAGAAGAAAGGACTGTTTGAGGTCAGGAGTTTGAGACCAGTGGACAACATAGCATGAACTCATGTCTAAAAAAAAAAAAATTAGCCAGGCATGCACCAGTAGTCCCAGCTACCAGAGATCCCAGGAGCAAAGGAGTTCAAAGCTGCAGTGAGCTATAATCACACCACTGCACTCCAGCTTAGGTGACAAAATGAGTGAGACCTTGTCTAAAAAAAAAAAAGGAATATCTGTATTTTAGAGACTTCCAGATCAGTTAGATTTGAGTCTCTCAAACGGTAACTGTGGACCCCAGAGGGACGGTCACAGAAATTCCACCAAACAAGGATTCACAAGGTCAACAACACTGGGAAATGACGCAAATTTCTCCCCCACTTGGGGATTCATAATGCACAAGAATGCAGAGAAAACAGGTATTGAACCTGAGTTTGCTGAATATATTTCACCGTGTACCCCATCCATTAACATCTGTGTCATGCTTGCAATTTAGTAAGCAAAATCTAGCATGTCTCTCAATATACAGATACAGATAGTGAAGTGAACTGACTCACTCAGGGTCACACAGCATCTCCTGAATCCTGGAGCAGTGTGCTTTTCATAGCCCCTGGTGCTGCCCTAATGATTTTCTTAGCTGTCAGGTCACAGGAGGTCAAAAACTGAACATAGACATCAGATTCCAGTATCAATTTGGCTTAATTATATATAAAAATTGATGTACTGGATATAAAAATTGATGAATAGGATTTGCTTTTAATCCCACCATTCCAAAAACAGTCATTCATTCAACAAATATTTATGAAGTGTTATGTGCTGAGCACTGCACATTTTGCAGTAAATGAGATATGGCTATACAGAAGACTGACAGTAAAATTCTTAAAGAGCTTGAAATGGATCGAACTGTCCTCAATAAGACCCCTTCAAAGCAAGGACTTGTAGGAAATGACATATCTATATTTCATTTACTTCCATTAACACCATTCACACTTGATCTAATGTTAAGGACATGCTCTCCACTGGAAGGATTCCAGAATCAAACACTCCCTTTCACTGTGCACATTGCAGAGAAAAAAAGCAAAAAGGTTGGAGTTAGTCAAGCTTTTCTGTGGAGCACCTCAACCTGCAGATGTTCTAGTTTCAAGTCCATTGACATTTCATTTTGGGCTCCTACAAGTCGGTTAAAAAGCATTTCCCCCACTTGCTATAGTGCACAAATGAAACTGCCTATTTAAAACTAGGATTTCTTTTGCAAAGCAAATTGACTCACCCATTTCAAAGCTCTTCAGAAAGCATAGTTTCTCAAAAGCCATGTCATTCCAAAACATACCATGGGTTTCAGATGGAGAAAGGTCGAGCTATCTTTCTAGATGGTATTTCCAATGAACTGACAGCATCTGGCTAGGAACCAGGAGGGTTGTCTTATGTTATTTTAAAAAGAAGATGCCAAATGAAAATAAAAACTCCGAGCTTGAGGAGTCTGCAACAGAGACTCTATATGTGTGTATGGAATAAAAAGAAACCCAAGAAATCAGAGGCTTATCAAGGTCCTTGCCCTGTGTGTACCTTTAGGGCCAAACCGTGCATGCAGAAAATAAACATGTTTCGAGACCCAGCAAAAATCTTCCATGTCCCTCCAGAAGCAATTCTGAAAACTAATCTGGCAAAGCAAAGATAATCACCCCATGAGACACATATTCTGTGTTTATTGGACACCAGAACAAATCATGAAGACTTCCTTAAGTATGGTAAAGACAGCCACCCGGACAGAAGGAAGAAACCACACATACACAGAGCCACAGGACACAGGAAAGCTATGTGCCCCCGCCCCATGGCCACACAAACACACTGAACCTGCTGTCTAAAAAGCAACTCAAACACAAGTCACTAGACACATCTTTTGTCTATAAGAAGAGGGGATTGTATATTTCTAAGGAGCAAGCATCACTTTTAAAAAAGAACCCAGCATCACTCTCTCTTTTCAAATAGGACCACCGGTCCATCTCTGCTAGGCTGGGATATATTTGACTGAGATTATTCCAAATGCCTCTGCCAGTTCTTTCAACTGCCAGTCAGTGGGATGAGGTTTCTGAGCACACCGGTTCCTACACAGAGACACAGAAACACCTGATACGCTGAGCAGCTCTGGACATGTGTGTGCCTGTGTGTGCGTGCATGCATGTAGATGTCTGTGCTGTTCTGTAGATCCATGGGGGCGTTTCCTTATGTGGTTTAATGGAATCCATTTGGGGTAAAAGACGTTATTTTGCCTAATGAAATCTCCCCCTCGCAGTCCAGTTCCCAGACAGACTCGGCAGCAAGGTCGCCATCTGGAGATGTCTGAGAGATCTGGGACATTCCATCGAAAGGACCTTCCTCTTCCTCGTCGCGGCCCGCCTCCCTTTCCCGGGGCATCACCGCATTGGGGATGCTGTGGATGTAGGCGGCTGCGATTTCCTGGTGGAAGACTGTGTCTTGGTTGTAGGAGATGAGCTCGTTGCTGATGTTCACCGTCTCCACCCGGGTGCGGGAGCAGAGGGGGCCGCATCCCAGCAGCTGGGCAAACACCTTCCGGAAGTCGGCGTTGAAGGCATAGATGATGGGGTTGAGGGAGGAGTTGGCCCACCCGAACCAGACGAAGACGTCGAAGGTGGTCTCGCTGACGCAGGGGAAGCCGGAACGGGGGCCCTCGGGGTGTCCGCTGCAGAACGGGACCGTGCAGTTAAGGACGAAGAAGGGCAGCCAGCAGCACACAAAGACCCCCATGATCACCGACAGGGTCTTGAGGACCTTGGTCTCCTTCTTGATGGACGCTCGCAGGCTGGGGTCTGGCGCGCAGGCCCAGCGACCCCGGCAGCTCTGCGCATGCTCCACGGCCCGCTCCAGGGAGGAAATCCTGCGGATCTGCACCTGCGCGATGCGGTAGATGCGGGTGTAGGTCACGATCATGATCGCCACAGGGATGTAGAAGCTGACCAGCGACGAGGAGATGGCGTAGGCCCGGTTCAGGCTGGAATCGCAGTTCTCCGCCCTCACGGCCGGCTCCCCAGCCCCCTCCCAGGGCGTCCCGTTGGCCAGGCTGTCCGGCAGGACCCTCCCGCCCCAGGAACCTGCCTTATCCCTGTGCCAGTTGAGCTGGACTGGAATGAAGGAGATGAGAATGGACAAGGTCCAGGCCAGGCCGACCATGACCAAGGCGACGCGCTGGGTCATCTTGCGCTCGTAGCGGAAGGGCCTGGAGATGGCCCAGTGGCGGTCCACGCTGATGACGCACAGGTTCAGGATCGAGGCGGTGGAGCACATGATGTCGAAGGCCACCCAGACGTCGCAGAACGCCCCAAAGGGCCAGTAGCCGACCACCTCCGCGACCGCCTTCCAAGGCATGACCAGCAGCGCCACGAAGAGGTCGGACACGGCCAGAGACACGATGAAGACATTGGTCATCTTGGTGCGCAGGGGGCGGCTGCGCACGATGGCCGCACACACCAGCACGTTGCCCAGCAGTGTCCAGATGATGAGCAGGGTCAGCAGGCCGGCGGTGACCACCTGCGCAGGCCCCAGCGGCGCCGCCCCCGCCGAGT